AGCCATCCACACACTTTTCCACTTAACCATGAAGTATGTTCCCTCTTAATGCAGGAAATCATGTTGGTGAATTGTGTTGGGGTTTACACTGATTATTAAGTATCTGAATTTGAAAAAATGTGAAGACCTAGACAATAAGCTATCACTAAAGAGTTTTTTTAAGATTTCATTTATTTATTTTTAGAGGGAGGAAAAGAGAAGGAGAAAGAGAGGGAGGAAACATCAATGTGTGGTTGCCTCTCATGCACCCCACACTGGGGACCTGGCCTGAAACCCAGGCATGTGCCCTGACTGGGAATTGAACTGGCAGCCCTTTGGTTTGCAGGCAGGCACTCAATCCACTGAGCCACACCAGCCAGGGCACTAAAGAGTTTTTTTAAAGGGGTAACAGTATTGGATAGATATTATAGAAAGGTATCAATAAGGTACATGAAGATGATACTACACCAGGGAAAAGGAGAAGTATTTTCCCAGCTTTATTTATTGACATATATCATATAAGTTTAAGGTATACAGCATGGGTTTCAAACTCATCTTCACCAGGGGCCACATCAGCCTCGTGGTTGCCTTCAAAAGGCCAAATGTAATTTTAGGACTGTGTAAATGTAACTATTCCTATAGGATAGGGGATATTCCTATTCTATAGGATAGGTTATCCTATAGAATAACTAGGGGCAATGAGCTTGGCGCTGCTGCTGGGTAGAAGCAAGGTACTGGGCCAGATAAAACAAGGTGGAGGGCCAAGGTTGGGCCATGGGCCTTGTGTTTGCCACCTGTGGTGCACAGCATTATGATTTAAAGCAGTGCAAAATGATTAGTTAATTTCTCCATCTCCTCACAAAATTATACCATTGGGTGAGTGTGTGTGAGTGGTAACACTTAAGACTTACCTTCTTAACTTTCAAGTATATAATGCATTATTGTTCATTATGGTCTCCATACTGCACATTAGATCCCAAAACTTATTCATCTCATAACTGGGCGTTTGTACCACTTGACTGGCATTGCCTCCATTTCTCTCAATCCCCAGCTCCTAGAAACCATCATTCTGCTCTCTATTTCTATGAGTTCAGCTTTTTTGGATTCCACACATAAGTAAGAATGGACAGTACCTTGTTTTTCTATCATTTATTTCACTTAACATAAGGTCCACAGAGTCCATCTGTGCATCCATGTTATCACAAAAACAGGATTTTCTTTTTATGACTCAATAATACTCCATTGTGCACATGCATACACACACCATCTGTCCAGAAGGTATCCAGCCATGTGATATGAAAAATAGAGACATTTATTGGAGAAGATACAAGATACAAGAAACATTGCAGACAGGACAATGATGCCTCAGTCTCCTTCAAAGTAGGCACCTTGGGACCTCACACAGTGTTCCCAGTCGCCATCAGCTGCCCCATTATATTTTCCTGCATCTTATTGACCCTCTAAAATCTCTTCCTTTTCAAAGGTGATTTTAGTTTTGGGAAAAGCCAGAAGTCGCGGAATGCTAAAGCTGAGCTGTGGCGGGGAAGGGGGGGGCTGACTCACCTGCCAATGTCTCATTGTTTCACAAAAAAACTCTTCACAAGATGCAATACATGAATGGACGTGTTGTCATGATGAACCTGCCAATGATCAGTTGCCCACAGCTGTGGCCTTCTGAATCATCTAAATAGTTTCTACAGAGAAATATTCAAACTTAGCGCAAAATTTGATGCAGACTTGTCGCTCTACCTGCTCAGTCATTTTGAAAGTTACAGCCACACAGAACACACGCTCACTCAATGCCATCTACCTCCCACTGACTAGTACAGTGAAATCGTCATTGTTTCCACATATGCATTCAAGTCCACTCCCCCTGGCTGCCAGGTTACATCAATGTCATGCAAATTATTCTTATTATATTAACAATGGCTGGACTTTTTCCAGACCTACCTTGTAAGATTCACATGGTCTAGAACTGTGCCGTCCAATGTAGTATCACAAGAACACTTGAAATGTGGATCTTTCTATGCAGATACGCTATAAGATACATACCAAGTTTCAAAGATTTAGTATCAAGAAAAGGATGCAACATATCTCATGAAGAGTTTTTTAATGATTAGGTGTCGAATTAATAAAATATTTAATATATTTAAAATATTAAATATTAATATTTGATATATACATAAATAATTTATATGATACAATTCATCTTGTGCTCACTTTGGCAGCACATATACTAAAACTTATCTCATCTTTTTTGGTGTAGATTGATTTTTTTTTAATTTTTGAAGTAGTTATTTAAATTTTTAAAATTATGTATGTGGCTTGCATTACCTTTCTATCGAACAGCACTGGTTTAGAATGTTGGGGAAGGAAGAATTGCCAACCAAAAAATCGATAACATCAACAGTAATCTTCTAAAGTAGTGAGCAGTCAGAAATTAAATCCCAGATAGGAAGAAGAAAATGGTGTCATATTACACTTTAAGAAAACTCTCTTGGAAAGATTATAAAGTAAAACAAAAAAGAAAGCACCTCCTCTGGGCCCACCATCAATGACAACGCCCATCTTGGCTGCTAATATCATTCACCGTGAAGCAAAGACCACATAGATATTTGTGGGACATCTAATATAATATCTAGAAAGGCAGTGTTCAAAAAACATAATAGTGACATGTAAAAGGGGTACAGAGGTCAACTGAAAGAGCTCCCAGTCACCAAAGCTGAAACAATTTGAACAAGAAAATAAATAATATGGTGAAGGTTTGTAACCCAAAGTATAAAATAAAGATGAGTCCATACCAATATTAATAAATGATTGAATATATAAGTAAATGGGAAGAGAATAAACATATTTCCTATTCAAAGAGTTCTGCCCTTCAAAGGGATGGAAAATAATTCCCTACTCCTTAAGCAGAGGCTGCACAGAGTCACTTCCTTCCAAAGGGGGGGGGGGGAACCTGACAAAGACTATCTCAGGCATGTGATGAAGTTTAATGCCACCTGCAATAATCATCAATGGACTGTGTATTCCCTTGCAACTATGTGGTGATAATGACACCACCTCTGCAGTCTTCTTTCAAAACACATAACCCGGGTCTAAATATAAGAAAAACATCAAACAAACTCAAAATTGAAAGATTTCCTACAAAACCTACCGGTACTCTACAAAATTATCAAGGTCAACAAAAATAGGGAAAGTCTGAGAAACTGTCACAGAGAGGCCTGAGAAGACACAAATGCTAAACTAAGTTAGTAACAATGTATCAGTGCAAACTAAGTAGTTGTGAGCAATGCCAATGTAAGATTTTAACAGGTCAGACTAGACAAAAGGTATGGAGAACTCTCTATACTACCTCTGCAACTTTTCTATAAACCTAAAACTCCTAAAACAAAAGGTATACTTTTAAAAAAAGATGTCCTTGGTTTGAAATCTTTCAAATCTCTTGGAATCTTTATTCTCTGGTCCAAGTCCTCTATAACCTATCTATTCAAAGTGTGGTCACTTTCAATACAGAATCTCAGGCCCATCCCAGATGTACCAGTCAGGATTTCCAGAGAAACAGAATAGGATGTGAGTTTGTAAAAAAAAAAAAAAAAAAAAAAAAAAAATTATTATAAGGCATTGGCTCATGCAATTATGAAGGCTGCAAATCCAAATCTACAACATGGGCCAGCAGGGTGAACACCCAGGAGAGTCCTGCTGCAAATAATGTCTGAAAGCTCTCTGCTAGAGAATGTTCCCTAGCTCAGGGAGTTGGCCTTTTTGATCTATTCAGGCCTTTGATTGAATAAAGTCTACCCAAATTAAAGGAAGCAAACTGTTTTACCCAGAACTCACGGATTTAAATCCCAAAACACCCTCCAAGTTCGCACATAAAATTAACTGTCACACCAGACGTGATAAATCTGAATCTGCTTTTTAAAAGGATGTGCCAGGTGATTTCAAGCATATTCAAGTTGGGCGTCATTGTTCTACAAGGCTCCTAAAAAGCTGGAATGCCTGCCCTGAGAGAGTTTTAAATCTGCATGATAATTTCAGTAACTCAGACACAAAACTTAATTTGTTGAAAACTATCCTAGTTTTCAAGTAAACCTACAGAAAACTAGGAAATCCCACACCTTCGGAAATCCCAGCCCTCCTTGTAGGGCAAGGGTGACCCATTCGTGCCTGCATAGAGCTCACCAAGCCTTTGACCTGGTTTATTGAATTATTTGCCTTGTGAGTCTTCCCTGGCTACAATGAACTCCCCAAGGACATCTACCATATTTTTTTCCTTTTACGTCCATATCTTTATTACCACAATAACTGATGAACTTCTGAAGCCTCTGGTCAGAGGCCCCAGATCTGTCCCACTCCCACCCACCCCCACCCCCCCACCCCCAAGCTGGTCCTTTTTCCTAGCTTCTCTTTCTCAGAATTAGCAAATACCAGGAGAAGCTGTTTTGAGCTTTAGATTTCTGGGGTCATATCACACATTTATCAGAGGATTTTATAGGTTGAATCACGAACCTGCTGATGTTGGGTTACTTTGACCTACAGAATCGGCATTTTCATACAACTCAACGATACGTTTCTATTTACTGTTTTCTGTCTCCAAAGCTATTTGAGGGGCAATATGCGGTCAAAGTACCAGCGTTGTGAATATTCACGGCAATTTACTACTGATAATTGAACACCAGATACACACCATCCATTTTCCAAGTTTGATCCAAACCCTCTCTTTAATTATGCGCCACTCAAGTCCCCTTGACCCGTCTCCAGGGTCCCATTCGGCCCTGGCCTCGGAGGGGCAGCCCCTGCGCTTTACACTGGAGTGGAAGAGGCCGAAGCATTGTCCATCAGAACACTCCCACCGCTGCGCACCTAGAACCCGCGGAGCGTAAAACGGAGACGCGGACCTCAGCCCACCACGCCCGAGCTCCCAGAATTCCGCTTTCCCCATTCCAGACTTGCCCACAGCTAAGATGGCGCCGGGGCGGAGTCCCCGCAGCCGCCTCGGGGCGGAGCCAAGGTGACAGGACCGGGTTAAGGGGCGTTGCCAGGCTGGCGGCTGCCAGGGGACTCCGGCTGTCTGGCCCGGGTGCTCCTCAAAGCCGGTAGATCGCTAGCCAGCTCCACGGAGGCGTCATGAGGTCTCCAGTTCGGGGCCTGCCTCCAAGCGATGGCGATAAGGTCTCAGACAATACACCCCTCCTGCAGGACGCCCCGCAGGCGGAAGTTGGTGAGGAGCGGCGCGATCAAGGGGCTTCCGCCGGGCGGCGCGGTGACCGGAGTAGCGGCGCCCTCGGCCGGTAGAGCCAGAGCTGCTTAGACCGGTGGTGGACCGGGCGGAGGTGGGGGTTGAGGAAGGAGAGCCTAGGCGCGAGGGCACTCGAGGAAGGAGAGCTCGGAGAGGGCCCCACTTAGCCTTCGCCGCCCGGGTGTCCGCAAACCGCTCCGGGACAGTGGGGGCGGGCGAGGACCGCGGGCCAGGCCCTGCGGGTGGCGGGGGTGGGACCTCGCCAATTGCAGCCCCGCGGCGCCTGGGCAGGGAGCTGCGGGGCGCCGCCGGCAGTGGGCTGTTGGCTGTTTTCGGTAGTATCAAGTGGGGGATCCCGTGGGAGGATGACCTGCCGGAGAATCTGCAAATCAATGAAACCAGTGAGCACAGGGCTGGACACAGTACCCAGTCTGAGAGCAAGGAAAAACCTGCAAATTGACGGGCTGGAAGAGCCTCTGGCTCTTCCTCTCTGTCACCTCCGGGTTTTCGCAGCTGCAGTCCGCCAGCATGTGATCTGGTAGCTCCTTGGGCGAGGATGAGAGACAAAAAAGCACTGAGGTTTACATTTGTGAGCATCCGGGTGGAAATCATTGCATAACCCAGGGAATATCTTGAAATTGTGCGGCAAGAGATTAAAAGTGCTGCGCACTGTTTTCTATGGTCATGCGATTTAAGTTACAAACGGTTACTCTCAAAATATAGCTATAAAGTTCTAAGGTAACTTGCCAAAGGTTTTGCAACAAATAGAAAAGTAGAAACTTCACAACGCATCCCCTTTGAATTCGAGGGAATTAAAATCTTTTTCTTTTTGATACTTTTGTAATGTAACTTCTTAAAGTACCTAATTAAAACTAAACAATAACACAGTTTGTGTGCATACTATAGTTGCAAAGACGAGTACATGAGAAACAATTGAATTAGAAATTTGACTTTTCCTGGCCGAGAGCAGTATAGTTCTGTGACATCATTTTTATTTAACATTACCAGATGGCAGCAGTAGAGGTGGCAACACTGTAGCTCCATCTGGCAGCTGGGAGATGGTTTTGGTGGACACTCATGTAAATTCTGTACCACAGTGACATTTCACTGGGAGTTGGACTTAGTTCCATAAACTATTCTTTTTCTGTGGCATATAGTGTTACATTTCTATCATTTTCTTCCATAAAAGAATCTAGTGTGAAAATACAGAAACAAATGTCATAATAAAAATGTTCCCTAGATACTACTAAAGTCTGTTGCAGTTTGGATGGAGATATATATATATAATTTTAGCTAAATATTAAACATCATTAGTGGTCAAGAAAGTGCAAATTAAAACCACAATGAGTCATTACATCCCCACTAGAATGGCTAAAACTTAAAAAGCTAAAGATACCAAATGTTGACAAAGACTTTGGAAACTGGCAATTTAAAGTTAAGCATACATTACCATAATATAGCAGCTTTATTTATAATAGTAAAAAAACTGGCAACAACCTAGATATCCATCAACAGCGAATGGATGAACCAATAGAAGTGTGTCCATAGAATAGAATACTATTCAGTAATAAAAAGAAACTTCTGCTACACATGATAAACAATAACCTTCTAGATTGAAAGTTTTTCTGAAAGAATTTATTGAGCCATGTGCTAGCCAGGAAAAGGACCAAATCCTGGAACGTACAGTCTAAACCATCAGCAACAGGCCTAGATGGAGAGGACAAGCATGCCCTCTGTCCTGGTATTGATGGGGCTCTTATATGCAATGAGTTTGGGGAAGAAAAATGTAAGTTTTTTAAAGTATATTTTATTGATTTTACTATTATAGGTGTCCCATTTTTTCCTCCCCTTTATCCCCATCCACTCAGTACCCCCATTCCCTCCAGCATTCCCCTCCTCCCTTAGTTCATGTCCATGGGTCATACATATGCTTTAGCTTCTCCACTTCCTATACTGTTCTTAACCTCCTCATCTATTTTGTACCTACCAATTATGCTTATTCCCTGTACCTTTTTTCCCATTCTCCCCCTTCTCCACCATCCTTGCTAATAACCCTCCATGTGATTTCTATTTCTGTGATTCTGTTCCTGTTCTAGTTGTTTGCTTAGTGTGTTTTTATTTTTTTATGCTCAGTTGTTGATAGTTGTGAGTTTATTGTCATTTTACTGTGAATAGTTTTGATATTCTTCTATTTCTTAGATAAGTCCTTTTAACATTTCATATAATAAGGGCTTGGTGACAATGAACTCCTTTAGCTTTATCTTGTCTGGGAATTTATCTTATCTATCTTTATCTGCCCTTCCATTCTAAATGATAGCTTTGCTGGATAGAGTAATCTTGGATATAGGTCCTTTTCTTTCATCACTCAATATTTCTTTCCAGCCCCTTCTTATCTACAAGGTTTCTTTTTAGCAATCAGCTGATAGTTTTATGGCACTCCTTTGTAGGTAGCTGTCATCTTTTCTCTTGCTGCTTTAAGGTTCTCTCTTTATCTTTAATCTTTGGCAATTTAATTGTGATGGTGTGTTCTTCTTTGGGTCCAACTTTTTTGGGGCTCTCTAAGCTTCCTGGACTTGTATGTCTATTTTCTTCACTAGATTGGGGAAATTTTCCCTCATTAATTTTTCAAGTAAGTTTTCAACTTCTTGCTCTTCCTCTTCTCCTTCTGGCATCCCTATGGTTCAGATGTTGGAATGTTTAAAGTTGTTCCAGAGGTTCCTAAGACTCTCCTCACTTTTTTTTGAATTATTATTTCTTCATTCTGTTCTGGTTTATTTCTTCCTTCTGTTCCATATTGTTGATTTGAGTTCTCATTTCCTTCCCTTCACTGTTGGTTCTATGTATATTTTTCTTTATTTCACTTTGTATAGTCTTCACTTCTTCCTTTATTTTGTAGCCATACTGAATCATTTCTGTGAGCATCCTGATTACCAGTGTTTTGAACTCTGCATCTGATAGGTTGGCTGTCTCTTCATCACTTGGTTCTGTTTTTGGAGTTTTGATCTGTTCCCTCATTTGGGCCATATTTCTTTGTGTTGGTGCACCTGTTACGTTGTATGGGGCAGAGCCTTGGGTACTGGCCAGGGCGGGGCAACCCATGTCACTGCACTGTGGCACTGTATGAGGGGAAGTGGTCAGAGAGAGAACAGTGCTGCTTGCCCAGCTCTCACCACACTTTCAGTCACTTCCCCTGCTTCCCACAAGTGTGTTGTGCCCTTCTGGTGCTGCCCTGGTGCTGATTCCCAGGTGGGTGAGTTTGTGTACATTCTAGGACCCTTTGGACCCCTCCTACAGACTCCCCCATGACACTAGCATTATCTCCCGCCAACACAACTTCCATAGGTTTTTATAGCCAGAGATTTTGAGGCTTTATTTCCTGGCACTGGAACCCCAGGTTGCAGGGTCTGTCTCGCTCCCCAGTTATTCCTCATAGTTGTATCCACACACAAATGTGGGACCACCTGGTCTGCCAGCCTCACCCCCGCAACCCGTCCGCCAGCTGCCACCTTGCCATGCAGCCTGTCTGCCCCCGCTGCCTGTCCCTGCCCCTCCTACCAGTCTGGATGAATGTTTCTTCTATAACTCTTGGTTGTCAGAATTCCATACAGTTTGATTTTCTGGCCATTCTGGTTGTTTTCTGTTTTTAAATTGCTGGTTATCCTTCTTTTGGGTGTGAGAGGAAGCAAAGCATATCTACCTACATCTCCATCTGGACTAGAAGTTCCAAAAAATGTAAGTTGTCTTGAAAGAATTTACATAGACTATAGATAAAGGGGTGGAGCTATGAAGTGGGGCTAATTTGGGGATAGCGTACAGTCCATAAGGAAGAAGTATTTACTACTTTTGTTTATTGATTTGAGAGAGAGAGAAGCATCCATCTACCATTCCACTTATTTATGCATTCACTGGTTGATTCGTACATGTGCCCTGACCAGGGATCACACCCACAATCTTGGCATATGGGGATGATGCTCTAACCAACTGAGCAACCTGGCCAGGGAATGTTTACTGCTTTTTTTTATTGGTTGTGGACAACAGTCCAGAAAGTTTATGCATAAGCAGGATGCAATGTTATCCAATGGTGGTGGACTGTGTCTTTTTAGAAAAGAGATGAAATAGCCATCTGGAAGTTGATTCATAGTTTCAGCATACATTTAGGAATATGAGTAGTCTTTTGTTGGTTTCTTGCTCTCAATTCTATTAACTGATTAACCTCCCTTATCTCCTGCAGCCTAGTGTAATTTAATTTAGGACATCTCAGAATTTTGCCTCGTCACACATAACTACCTGGACAAATCTCAAAACACTGAGAAAAGAAGCCACCATGTTAGTGTATGATTCCATCAGCACGAAGTTCTAGAATAAGCAAAACTAATCTGAAATAACAGAACGCACACCAGTAGTTGCCCAGAAGCAATAGGCAAGAATTGACAGCAGAGGCACTAGGGTACTTATTGTGGTGATAGAAAAATTCTACATCTCGATTGGGATGCACAGATATATATATATACACATTCATCAAAATTCACTAAACTATGAGCTTGAAATGGGTGCATTTTATTGTATGTAAATTGTACCTCAATAAAATTGATGCCAGAAGAAAAAAACTAACTCATAACATTGCTTTTAGAAACTATCCCAACTTGATTCACGGGTTGAGCATATAGCTCTTAGGCCTGTTCCTCCTAACTTGACATGACTGCCTTCATCATAGCAATTTCCCAACAATTTTATTCTTGACATACTCTCTGGAGAGCAAAAGTGAAGTAAAAATAACAGCAACACCTTATTTGTCTATTTAAAATATGATAAAGGTTTTAGAGAAGAGGAACGTACAGTTATAGGACATTGCATTAATCAATGATGTTTTAAATTAGCTCTGTGTCTGAGATGCTGTGAGCAGGAGGACGAAAGAGGAGCAGCAGGAGAAAGGTGAAAAGGTAGAGACGAGCCTGACAGCTTTACAGGAGGTACCAGGTGCC